GACCCCTAACACATTCGCTAGATTCTATAGCCTTCGTGTGGAGCCGGTATCCTCCTGTGTTCTCACCTCAAACGGGTAGAAGCACTGAGAGGCCCCAGCTTCGGGTCGGCTTGCAAACCACTCCAGAGAGTCCATATAGTAGACCCTGTTGAGCTCCTCCATCCCTTTGGCAGCCAGACGTGGCGGAGCGTCCGTTGCCAGGCCTTCACTCATTGAATCCTCAAGAACCGGTAGAAGGCTGGGTTCCATATGCAAGACCTAAGTGGATCCCATATGTGTAAAGTCCACGGTATAGCCTTGAGCCCGTGTTTCCCCAGCAGACTTCTGCCATTCCAAGAGGGTTCAATCACCTCCATTCTTCCATATGCACCTAAGGGATGTCCATATGTGTATTGCTCTGAAACCTCCTTCGGGAAGGTTCAAGCTTCCGTAACGTCCCTGTTCCAAGTAGAATGGGTGCGTTTCCCCAGTGTTATCCAGTCTACTCCGTGGGTAGTGCCATAGTAGCAGTAGCTGGTCCTCTTGTGCAGGGCCCGGCCTACGCCAAAAAGTAGGGGCAGAGATGGCTTCCACAGGACACTGGAAGGGGTGGTAGCTGTGGCCTTTTGGTAGGATCCCAATTCGTCGGTCCTCCGACGTGACGTCGAGAGTGACCGACTGAACTAATTCGTCGGTCCTCCGACGTGACGTCTCCGTTCCCTCCTTCAGGGAACGAGGGTTACATACGTAACCGAGACGTTTGTTATAATAACAAAGGTGGACTCCAGGCACATTTTCGTTAGGACAAAAAAAATTGCATTTTATTTAAAATGTTAACCCATACCTAGGCTTGGGAATCCAAAATCTATTCTAATTCTGGAATAGGATGCTTATGGTCAGGAATCGTCTACTTGTTATAAAATTAAAATTTGGATTCCTCTTTTCGATTCCTTTGTGTGCATTTTAATATGACTTTAAACCATTCAGGCACAAGCAGCCTCATGCTCTGTTTTCTGTACTGCACACATAGGGGCATAGCCATCATTTCAGAAATGAGGGGGACAGAAATGTAAAAATAAAAAAAGAACAACTTTTGACTTTTGTCTAACTGACAAGCTTTATTTTTCTTATGTATTTTAACTGGCTAAGAAATCAAATACACTGCTGGACGATAACCAATCATTTGTATTCTATATTTTTTTCTGTGTTTTCCTAATGACAATTTTAGGATTGCTTATACAAACACATAATAAAGCAGAATTGCTTCTGTATTGTAATAAATGTTATGTCAATTAGCACTGCATTATTCATATACTATATTTATTATCTGGAAATTACCTGAAATTACCCTTTTTTTGCTACAGCCATAGCTGGATGCCTTTGTCCATATTAGGGATTTCCTGCACACCATAAGTTATTATATAACTTCTACTGGGCCTTTGTGGACTTTCTGCGTGAGAGCACCCTCCGGCTTCGAATATGAATGAAACATGCACTGCATGAGAGTGTTTTAGCGCTCCGTGATGTTCACATCATTTTGTTTTGGATATGAATAAATCGTCCGGTCATACATAGACTATCTTGTTTCTTCACCCATGTTCTCACACATCCAAAGCATGCACACAGAAAAAGTGATTTAAAATGCATCTAAAATGTAAAAATTTACTCAAGTACTGTAACGAAAGTATTTGTAATTAGTTACTTTCCACTTTTAGGTTCCAGTCCCCGAGTTTAGCCCAGAGAGTTTTCCAGTCCCCAAGTTTGGCCCAAAGAGGGTTTCAGTCCCCGAGTTTAGCCCAGAGAGGGTTCCGGTCCCCGAGTTTAGCCCAGAGAGGGTTCCGGTCCCCGAGTTTAGCCCAGAGAGGGTTCCGGTCCCCGAGTTTAGCCCAGAGAGGGTTCCGGTCCCCGAGTTTAGCCCAGAGAGGGTTCCGGTCCCCGAGTTTAGCCCAGAGAGGGTTCCGGTCCCCGAGTTTAGCCCAGAGAGGGTTCCGGTCCCCGAGTTTAGCCCAGAGAGGGTTCCGGTCCCCGAGTTTGGCCCAGAGAGGGTTCCGGTTCCCGAGTTTATCCCAGAGAGGGCTCCGGTCCCCGAATTTATCCCAGAGTCAAGTCAAGTCACCTTTATTTATATAGTGCTTTTAACAATACAGATTGTGTCAAAGCACTTTACAGTATTGAATAGGAAAATAGTGTGTCAATAATGTAAAATGATAATAGTAAACACAAAATTTTCAGTTAAAGGCAGTTCATCATTGAATTCAGTGATGTCATCATCCAGCTCAGTTCAGTTTAAATAGTATCTGTGTAATCAAGTCGATGATATCGCTGGATATTAAGTGTCCCCAACTAAGCAAGCCAGAAGCGACAGCGGCAAGGAACCAAAACTCCATCGGTGACAGAATGGAGAAAAAACCTTGGGAGAAACCAGTCTCGGTCAGGCGGCCAGTTCTCCTCTGGCCAGACGAAACCAGCAGTTAAATTCAAGGTTGCAGCAAATTCACATTGTGCAGAGGACTCATCTGTTTCCTTTGGTCTTGTCCCGGTGGCCGTCTAGGACTGTGAGAGGGTTCCTGTCCCTGGCCCAGAGAGGGTTCCAGTCCCCGAGTTTAACCCAGAGAGGGTTCCGGTTCCCACGTTCAGCCCTAGGAGGGCTCCATTCCCCAAGTCATGCCCAGGGAGGGCCACAGTTCCTGAGTAAGGCCTATGGAGGGCCTCTGAAACAACCTTCTCCCCAAGGATTTTTTTTTT